GCCTTGAAATGTACAGTGTTGAGGCAGGTTCAAGTGGCTTCCACTTGAACCCTACCTTATCTTGGACTAAGTTGGAACACAAGCAAGCCTCTCAATCTTGACCAATCTTGATTCCGTTTGGGAACTGCCTATGTAAGTATCAGTGTCAGACACCCTGAAGCCTTGGTGTGATCGCTGCTCCCTCACCTACCTGATGCCAACTACCTCAACAACACCTACCATCTGGGCTTACAAAGACTCAACCAAGTCACAGTGGCATGTCCCTATCACTGGGCCAGAATGCCCAGTTTCAAGTCACACCTGTCACAAAGGTGTGTCCAAACAGGGTAATTAAAAACTCTACAATAAATGACTGATTGGGCAAGATGGTGAAGTCTGTATCTGTGAGCCTCTACCCTAAATAAATTTAAAGAGGAAAAGATACTATCAACATCTGGGGGATTACCATTGACCAGAAACTCAACTAGCCCCACCATGTAAGTACAGTGACTACAAGAGCAGATCAGAGGCTAGGAATACTGCGGCGAGTAACTCATAAGAACATAAGAACTAGGAGCAGGAGTAGGCCATCCGGCCCCTCGAGCCTGCCCCACCATTTAATAAGATCATGGCTGATCTTTTTGAGACTCAGCTCCACTTACCCGCCCACTCACCATAACCCTTAATTCCTTTACTGTTCAAAAATGTATCTAGCCTTGCCTTAAAAACATTCAGCGAGGTAGCTTCAACCACTTCACTGGGCAGGGAATTCCACAGATTCACAACCATTTGGGTGAAGAAGTTCCTCCTGACCTCAGTCCTACATCTGCTTCCCTTTATTTTGAGGCGATGCCCTCTAGTCCTAGTTTCACCTGCTAGCGGAAACAACCTCCCTGCCTCCACCTTATCTATTCCCTTCATAATCTTATATGTTTCTATAAGATCTCCCCTCATTCTTCTGAATTCCAATGAGTATAATCGCAGTCTACTCAGTCTCTCCTCATAATGCAACCCTCTCAACTCTGGAATCAACCGAGTGAATCTCCTCTGCACCCCCTCCAGTGCTAGTATATCTCTTCTCAAGTAAGGAGACCAAAACTGCACACAGTACTCCAGGTGTGGCCTCACCAGGACCCTATACAGCTGCAGCATAGCCTCCCTGTTTTTAAACTCCATCCCTCGAGCAATGGCAGACAAAATTCCATTTGTCTTTTTAATTACCTGCTGCACCTGCAATCCTACTTTTAGCAATTCATGCACAAGGACACCCAAGTCCCTTTGCACAGCAGCGTGCTGCAATTTTTTACCATTTAAAACATAGTCCATTTTACTGTTATTCCTACCAAAATGGATGACCTCACACTTATCAACATTGTACTCCATCTGCCAGGCCTTTGCCCGTTCACTTAGACTATCTATATCCCTCTGCAGACTTTCAGTGTCTTCTGCACACTTTGCTCTACCACTCACCTTAGTGTCATCTGCAAATTTTGACACACCACACTTAGTCCCCAACTCCAAATTATCTATGTAAATTGTAAACAATTGCGGTCCCAACACTGATCCCTGAGGCACACCACTAGCCACTGACCGCCAACCAGAAAAACACCCATTTACCCCTACTCTTTGCTTTCTACCAGTCAACCAATTCTCTATCCATGCCAATACATTACCTGTAATACCATGCAACTTTATCTTATGTAGCAGCCTTTGGTGTGGCACCTTGTCAAATGCCTTCTGGAAATCCGAATACACCACATCCACAGGTTCCCCATTGTCCACCATGCAAGTAATGTCCTCAAAGAATTCCACCAAATTAGTTAAACATGACCTACCCTTCATGAACCCAGGCTGGGTGTTCCCAATGGGACAATTTATATCCAGATGTCTTGCTATTTCTTCCTTAATGATAGATTCAAGCATTTTCCCCACTACCGAAGTTAAGCTAACTGGCCTATAGTTACCTACTTTTTGTCTACTTCCTTTTTTAAACAGTGGCGTCACATTGGCTGTTTTCCAATCTGCGGGAACCACCCCAGAACTCACTTCTTGATTCCTCAAAACTTGTCCAACATCTATGAGGCACAAGTCAGGAGCATGATAGATATATAAATCAATGTTTTCCTAGCTACCATCATTCTGTGGAAGGGTCACCAGACCCGAAACGTTAACTCAGATTTTGTTCTTCACAGGTAGGTTCTTCACACAGAGAGTGGTGAGCGTGTGGAATGTGCTGCCGGCAGTGGTAGTGGAATCAGATACATTAGGGACATTTAAGGGACCCTTGGATAGGCACACGGAAGATGGTAAAATGCAGGGTATGCAGGGTGTTTGATCTTAGAGTAGGATAATAGGTCGGCACAACATTGTGGGCCGAAGGGCCTGTACTGTGCTGTACTGTTCTCTGTTCTATGTTCTAGATGCTGCCAGACCTTCTAAGCATTTCCAGCAATTTCTGTTTTTATTGTGTGATAGAATACTCCCTGCTTTCCTGGATGAGTGCAGTTCCAACAACACTCGAGAAGCTCAATACCATTCAGCACAAAGCAACCCACTTGATTGGTACCACACCCACAAACATTTGCTTTCTCCTCCACTAACACACAGTAGAAACAGTGTGCACCATCTACAGGATGCACCGCAGAAACTCACTAACAGTCCTTAGCTAATATTTTCCAAACCTGTGACCCTGTCGAAGGGCATGGCAGACAGATGCATGGGAACAGCACCACCTACAGGTTCCCCTCCAAGTCACTTACCATCCATCACTGTCTCTCGGTCAAAGTCCTGGAACTCCCTCACTGACAGCACTGTGGGTATCCCTACATGCCAAGGATTGCAGTGGGTCAAGAAGGCTGTTGACCACCAACTTCTCCAGGGCAATTAGGGATGGGCAATAAATGCTACTTCAGCTGGTGATGCCTACACACCATGAAGCACGACTTAGGCAGGAACCTCTACAAGTTTCCAATGGTAGATATTGGGTGGACTGACCTGCAATCTACTAGCCTCATTTCCCACTCTGTAGTGTGAGATGCATCCACTCTGCCCTGTTTATCAGTGCAGCGTTAGTTTCCGCTTAAAGTTCTATTCAAATGCATGTGTAATCTTGATGATGGTGACTGTGATGATGCTGTGGCTTTGAGAGATTATTTTGTTTTTTGTTGAAGAGAGGTTTTAAGGCACAGGTAATGAGCAGTCTATGAGAAGATAAACAACTTGTGAAGCCTTGGGTGTTTTTTCTTTAAATTGGAACAATAGGAGCAGCTTGAATGGGTGTGGTCAAGCTCCCAACCACAGAGCCAGTTTTGGCTTTCAGCAGTTTCTGTTGGGATCTGGAAGAGGTGGGAATTATTTTTTTCTTTCTCTCTCATTTACAACCAAAAGTTGGGAGTTCTCTTCCTGCTGTGGGAGTTGCATGTGCGACAATCTGTTTTCTGAATTTGCCTTTTGCCAAGGGTGTGTTATTGGGATGTTACTGTATTGGAAGGGTTAATTAGTAATAGTTACTTTTCTGTTAAGTTTTCCAGTAGAGTTAAGTTATTCCAATTCCTTCTTACTGTTGTATATTTTAACTACAGTGGATGAATAAAGTGAGTTTTGCTTTAAGTCTGGTAGTTTGACCAATCGAATTACATTTGGAATACGACACCTTACATTTACCTTTAAAATAAGAAAAAGTTAAGGTCAAGGCTATCTTCTGAATATTTTGAGAGTGTTTGGTCTGGTCTGTAACACAACAATGATTGGGTTTTCTTTTCCTTTCACAGTCAAGAGCTTTTTTACGAGAATACTACAGAGATTCCAACATAGAGCTTTCGAAGTTGCTGTATAAACTGGGACAGAGCCTACCCACATGGTTGAGGGAGGAACTGCAGAACAACAGGTAGCTGCCCAACAAGCAACAAAGGGTGAAGTTGTGCATCTGTGCTTCCAGCGGCTGTTCTCGGAGATTAAGCCAGCATTTCCATCTCATTGTCATTCATTTGTTAAAGGCCTGCTCGATTTCTCGTCCTTCTGAGCACTGTTTGGGTCTCCAGAGACGGCTGAAGCGTTCAGCATTGCTGATGGTTTATTAGCCCTGCAGGGAGACCCGTGCTTATTAGTCAAGCGCTGACTGGATGGTTGTGAAGATCATTGTTTATTTTCATCTCGGGCCTGTGGTAGCTTCCCTGGGAGGAGCAGAAGGGAGTAAAGATTGTAAGCAATAATTGGTTCCTCAAGGCATAGCTGGAGTTCAATCCAAACCTATGTTCGCTCCTCCTGAAGTGTTGCAGCACAGAACCATTATTCAGCTTTGACCAGCTCTCAGGAGAGGTCCATCTCTGATTTTCATGATCACAAAGAGTTGAACTCTTCCTCACAACAGTCACAAGGAAAAGGATGTTGGAAGGGAGGTCTCTGTCATTTCGTTAGATGCAACAAGTGGCGCAGAAAGATACCATCTTCCGACAGCTGCTTTTGACCGGTTCTGTTGGGAGCTTCTTTATTAAATAGTTCAATGGGTTTTCTTCAAGAAACAATTAAACATAGCTTCCACCAAACAGTGCAAAGCTGGCAGTCAGGTGAACCCAACTGGAAGACAGCTCCTTCCATCAAAGACCACCAAATAAGATGGTCACTTGTGCGCAGTAGGACCAGACTTGGATAAAGAAGCAGTTCAGAATGACCACTATTTCCTTAAACATATTGTCATACTTTGTAGTTGATGTCTAAGCAGAAAGCCACCAGATTATAAAGGGGCACACACTTTTCTATACAAACAGCTTCACAGAAAGCTGTTTGAAATGGTTCAAGATAATTTGGTCACATGGCAATGCTACTATTTAATTACAATGAACACCATTCAAATTTCCAGTATGATGATGGGCAGTACATGTAATGTAATTATACCTTGTTTTTGTATTCCTTCATGCAACAAGGGCATCACTCATTGGCTGGAGGGCAGTTAACGTTCAACTACATTGATGTGGGCCTGAAGTCACATGTAGAATGACAATTTCAATTCCCTAAAGGACATTCATGAACCAGATGGGTTTTCCCAACAATGGCTTTGTGTTCATCATTATGCTCTTGATTCTAGGTTGTAATTGAATTCAATATTCATGATCTGCCACAGTGGGATTTGAACCCTGGTTCCCAGAACATTACCCAGGTTTCTGGATTAATAGTCAAGCGATAATACCACTAGGCCATCACCTCTTATTTAATGTGTCCTGTACTCTTAGTCAAAGAGTTATTGGACCCTTCGGTCCACTTATCCATGCCGACGAAATATCCTAAACTGATCTAGTCCCATTTGCCACCATTTGGCCCATATCCCTCTAAACCCTTCCTATTCATGTACCCATCCAGATGCCTTTTAAATGTTGTAATTGTACCAGCCTCCACCACTTCCTCTGGCAGCTCGCTCCATACACACACCATGCTCTGTGTGAAAAAGTTGCCGCTCAGGTCCTTTTTAAATCTTTCCCCTCTCACCTTAAACCTACGCGCTCTCGTTTTGGACTCCCCTACCCAGGGAAAAACACCTTGACTATTCACCCTATCCGTGCCCCTCATGATTTTATAAACCTTTATAAGGTCACCCCTCAACCTCTGTTGCTCCAGGGAAAATAGCCCCAGCCTATTCTGCCTCTCCCTGTAGCTCAAACCCTCCAACCCTGGCAACAAACTTGTAGATCTTTTCTGAATACTTTCAAGTCTAACAACACCCTACCTATAGCACACTGTAGATTCTGGCTGGTGTTTAGAGTGTAGCACTGGGGCAATAGATTGGTTCAACCACTTGCTGATTTTGGGGTGAAAGTATGTAATTGTCATTTATTAAACTTTGTCTTGTTTGAACACAAATGAATCCAGACGCTGCAGAAAGCCGAAATGGAATCCCAATCTTCATGAAAATATTGCACCACAAATTCCACATAATATTGGTCCTGAGCCGTTCATCATTTGGAACGTTTTAATTGCTCTAACCTAAGTCATTGAGCAAGAGCATCCCTGAGGAACATTTAATATAGAGACATCTAAATGGGACCAAATAGTCTCCAGGTAAAGATGTCCTGTGTTTGCTAAAAGCCACCATTTTTTTTTGGACTCTGGATGAGACAACTTTCATTGTTTTTGGATGATGTGGGTCAGGTGACAAACAAACTCGATTTGATCTTGTTAAGTACAGTTGGACCTCCAAGTAAGATAATGGCGGGCAGACAATCCTTGGTCATGGGTACAGCAACGCCCTCAGCATCGGAATAATGTGACGGAAACTGGGTTGAAGCATTCTTGAGCATTGAGGAATGCAAGATTGACATGAGAGGCAAATGCAATGATTTCAAGGCTTTATGCTGTTTAAACCCAAACTGATAATGTAAAAATACAGATATTCGGGGTGCAAACAATAGAGGTTTTGTTGTCAAATTTTGCAAGATGGAGCTCTGTCCAGCTCAAAAATACCTGATAATTAACAACTTTTTTACTTTTCGAAGGATTGTGTCTGAAGATACACTCCAGAACCAGACTGTTTTCCCCTCCCGGGTTTCCCTTTTAATGATTCAAAACTGATACTTTGAATCATAATTTTCAGTCACTTGTTGGCAATAAACCATTTACCTGTGTCAGCTGTGTAAGGAAAAGCAAGATTTCTTTTTATCTATTCCTCATCTATGAGTGGGATCTCTGTTTAAATATATCATAATTTTTCCACCATGCAGCATTACATAAAATGTGAAGTTTACAACTGTTTGAACTTTTAGAAAATCACAATTATGGTAATTTATTAACTTAAAAGTGTTTAAATCTGTAAATTTAAATATCCTGTAATTTACTCATCAGCTGTAATATTAACCCTCTCATCATTGGAATCTGAAACCGTGTAACTGAAGTTTATACTGTGTTTTTGTTCTATTTATATGGAACAGACTGCTTCTTGTGTATTTAATTTAATGTCATAGTTTACACGGGTTTACTGCAATGTGCAACAGACTTGACTCAACTGCTGTATGAGGGCATTGGGTTTCCATTGTTTTGGCAACTGCTGTGATTTTCTTTCTTACAACCAGAAGGTGGGACAGTTGCAGCTGCATGCAGACTGTCTGCAGGGTTAACACCAAGTGATTATTTCCACTGCATGGGTCCTGTCTCCTTATTAGTAAGGGGTTGATGGAGATTGGGCAGGAAAGTGGAGTTGAGGCAGAGATGAGATCAGCTGGGAACATATCAAGTGGCAGAATAGGATCGAGGGACTGAATTAGAATCCCTACGGTGCAGAAAGAGGCCATTGAGATGAAATCAACAGCTGAAGAGCATCCCATCCAGAATCATACACTCCCAGCCCAACCCCATAACGCTGCCTTGGGTGGCTAACCCACCTAACCTGTACATCCCTGGACACTACAGGCCAGTTTTAGAATGGCCAAACTACCTAACTGGAACAGAGAGTCATGGAGATGTGCGGCACGTGAACAGTCCCTTCGGTCCAATTAATCTAGTCCCATTTGGCCCAAATCCCTCTAAATCTTTCCTATTCATATACTCATCCAGGTGTCTTTTAAATATTATAATTGTACCAGCCTCCACCACTTCCTCTGGCAGCTCATTCCACACACGCACCACCCTCTGTGTGAAAAAGTTCCCTGTTAGGTCTTTCTCCTCTCACATTAAAGCCGACTGTGGGAGGAAACCAGAGCACCCAGAGGAAACCTATGCAGGCACAGGGAGACTGTGCAAACTCCACACAGATGGTCACCCAAGGGTGGTATCAAACCCAGGTCCCCAGCGCTGTGAGGCAGCAGGACTAACCCACTGAGCCAAACTTGTCCAAGCTCCCAGCTATGGCCAACTATGAAACCTGCCCTAAAAGGAAAACCAATAGGGTTCTGACCGTTCAGCATCAAACTGTGTGTTTGAAGCTCCTTAAACTCCTTTCTCTTATTTCCAATGCTCCAGATGTCTTGATTTGACATGGGCACCCATCACATCGTTTCAGTTCGGCCAAGTGAAAGAACGGGTGGACCTCTGGGTAAAATGAATGGTGCCAGTTTTCTTCTTTGCAAGAGGTGGTGAGGTGGGTGCTGTCGGACGCTCATTTCCCACCAGCTTTCCAAGGAAATCCCGCAGTTAAAATGCCAGGATCCCTTCGCTGATAGCTGGTGGATGCACGCGCTCAGTCAGTGTCTACTTCCATCGTTTATTGCATAATCAGTCAGTAAGATACCAGAGGTGCTGTTCTTGTACACCTCCATCCAGAACACCCCACTTTCAGGCACTGCAGAAATCCAAGGAGAAAAGAATCGCATTTGCTTTTGCCACATGATGCCTTGTATTTGAATAACTCCGTGAAGCAGAAGAGCCGGAGATCCTTGGATGTAAAGAATTCATAAGGATTTAGGGCATTTCTGTGTTCTGTGTGAACAGTGTACAATTCCTAAGTGCATTTTTAGTAGCCCTGACTGCAAGGTTTGGCACTGTGGTTTACAAAGCACATTGACTGAGTGACCCTGTAATCAATCATGGTTCAGTTTTGTTACATTGTGCAATTAACATGGAATTTGTGTTCTCATTCATGTCACCACTCTCTGATCTTGAAAAGTGTTCTTATAAATGTATAAAAATGTTCATTTTTTTGTAAAATTGTCAGTATTGCATTTCCTGCTGTTACATCGCGTTGTAAAGTGGAGGCGTTGTAGATAAACACTTAACCTTCTGAAAACTTTACATCTTTTGTGGTTTGAGGTTGTTCTTTTTACAGCCTCTGGGTCCACATTCTGCCCATCTAGCGTCAGCAGTGAAAGTCTGACAATAGCAAAACAGTCAGTCTTTGTATCTCTGTCGTGCCTTTGAGATGTTCCAGAGCCCTTTCTGGCTAATGAAGTACTTTTGAAGTTAAATGAAGGGATATAATGAAGGAAACTTGTCAGCCAGCTTACACACAGCAAGCTCCTACACTCAGATAATGACCAGATAATTTACTATTAGTGACACTGTTTACAGGCAGGAATATTGGTTAGGATGTTGGAAGAACTAAAAAGAAAATGTATAGCATGCAGAAGGAGACCATTCAACCCATTACATCTGTGACAGCCCATACAGATTGATACAGCCTCGCCTCACTTTGCCCCTGGTTCTTTGGGCTATAGCACTTCAAGTGCATGCCTTATGATTTATAATATGATGACTGTTTCTATCACTCCTTCAGGCAGTGAGTTACAGACCCATTTCAGTGAAACAAATTCACCTCAACTCCTATTGAAAAGGGAGGTGATGGCCAAGTTATGTTATCGCTGGACTGTGAATCCAGAGACCCAGGTAATGTTCTGGGGACCTGTGTTCAAATCCTGCCACAGCAGATGGTGGAATTTTAATTCAATAAAAAACCTGGAATTAGGAATCTAATTGAACCATTGTTTAGTGTCTGGTCCACTAATGTCCTTTAGGGAACGAAAATGCCATCCTTATCTAGTTTGGCCTGCAGGTAACTCCAGACTCACGGCAATGTGGCTGACTCTTAACTGCCTTCAGGGCAGTAAATGCTGGCCTGGCCAGCAACACCCTCATCCTGTGAATGAATTATGGAAAAATCATTTTACCAATTACTTCTTATTTATGCACCCTTCATTTCTGACTTCTCTCCTGAGGATAATGAGCCTTTCCTATCCATTATATTGACAGCTCTCGTAACTTTACACACCTCAGTTAAATCTCTCCTCGGTTTTCTCTGTGCCAAGAGAAAATGAAAATCTGGACATTTCCTCCACATCAGTTTCCAATATAATATTTACAGCTCTCCAGCTGTCTTTCTGATTAAATGCATCATGTAATACAGCACTAAGTTAAAAGTAAAGTTGTCATTGTCCTACTGGACCATGGACTGCTCTTCCCTTGGTGACGGCTTAACCTGAGGGTCACCACACTTTAGGTGTGGGGAGAAGTTGAGAAGAAGACTGTTTCATGGCATCACAAACCAGCCATCCAACCAACTTAGCTAACCAACCCGCCTTCTAAGCTATTGAGACTGGTACGGCACAAGGGAAGGCCATTAGCCCCATTATACGAGAAGGGGAGCTATCAAATTCGAGGTCAGAAGATCCTAGGCTGTATTTCTGGCCTTAGCAGTGGCAATTCTGAAGAGTTTTCTTGGACTCAAAACGTTGACTCTATTTCTCTCTCCACAGATGCTCCCAGACCTACTGAGTTGCTCCATCAATTTCTATGTTTATTTCTGATTCTGAAATTCAAAGTACTTTGCATGTGTTTGTCTCTGGCCTTTGTTGGAAGATTGATCTCATCTGTGTCTGAATGAGAGAAGGATCCCATTGATGGGTTCAACACGTCAGCCCCATCCCTACAGCCTGCCACATCACTGTTCCACCCACACGTTCTCTTGTTTTATAGACCAGACCAGACTGTAGTTAAAATACAACCAAAGGAAGAGGAATTTAGAATAACTTAACTCTATGGGAAAACTTAACAGAATAATAGATACAGTAACTATTACTAATTAACTGTTCCAATATAGGAACATCCCATAAATCCACCCCATGGCAAACAAAGGGAAATTCAGACACACATTCTCACATGCAGTTCTCCAATACAGGGGGAAAAAATATCAAGAGAAAATTGAGAGAGCGTAGCAGCCAGGAGACATTCACTGAAGCTGCCAACTCTTTTGAGGCCCCAACAGCTCTGCTTAAAATTAGATCTGGGCAGCACGGTGACTCAGTGGTTAGCACTGCTGCCTCACAGCGCCAGGGACCCAGGTTTGATTCCATCCTCTGGTGACTGTCTGTGTGGAGTTTGCACATTCTCCCTGTGTCTGCGTGGGTTTTCTCCAGGTGCTCCAGTTTCCTCCCACAGCCCAAAGATGTGCAGGTTAGGGTGGATTGGCCATGGGAGATTGCCCGTAGTGTTCAGGGATGTGTAGATTCAGTGGGTTATAAGGGGATGGATCTGGGTGGGATGCTCTGAGGGTCGGTGTGGACTTGTTGGGCCGAAGGGCCTGTTTCCACGCTGTAGGGATTCTATGATCTAAAAACTAAAACAAACTAGACAGCCTGGTCTGTGAGAGCTGGCCACACCATCATAGAATCCCTTCAGTGTGGAAACAGGCCCTTTGGCCCAACAAGTCCACACCGACCCCAGACCCAACCCCCTATAACTCACACATCCCTGAACACTACGGGCAATTTAGCATGGCCAATCCACCTAGCCTGAACATCTTTGGACTGTGGGAGGAAACCGGAGCACCCAAAGGAAACCCACGCAGACACAGGGAGAATGTGCAAACTCCACACAGACAATCTCCTGAGGCTGGAATCAAACCCAGGTCCCTGGTGCTGTGAGGTAGCAGTGCTCACCACTGAGCCACCGTGCCACCCCTGAAATTTTCAACAGAGCGCTCGTGCCAGGTAGGAGTCGAACCTACGGTCTCCTGCTCCATAGTCAGGCTGTTCCAATAAGCTGTTTACTCTCTTAGAGGCAGCTCTACCTTACAACCTCTCCAGAAAAAACAGGACAAAATAGCCTCTTGATAAGCCATAGCATCTTCAGACCTGTTGTGCAGGATAGATTGTTTCCTTGTCAGCTAAAGGCACCATTGGGCTCGGCTGTGGCGGTGATGAATACCATCATTCAATTTCACCACAAGCCTACAGCCGCTCTACAACAAACACTCACAAGGATTAAAGGCCCCATTCCCACGAAATGCAGAACGAGCGTGGTTTACAAAATACCATGCAATGACTGCCACAAACACTACAGCAGACAGACAGGAAGGAAACTAGCCATCAGAATACACGAACATCAGCCAGCAGCAAAACGGCAGGACGAACTCTCCTCAATGTCGGTACACTCGGGCAATGAAGGCCATCAGTTTAACTGGGACAGATAACCATAGTAGTCCAAGCCAAACATAGACACGCACGGGAATTCCTAGAGGCATGGTTCTCCACCCATAATACAATCAACAAGCACATAGAATTAGACCCCATATACAAACCCATAAGGATCAAAACTGGAAATGACACAACTCAACATAACGGACCAGACAGTATAAATTCCAAGCAGAGTAGAACAATATTGCTTCATCAAAGGCCTCACTGATGATGTCACCTAGCATGGAAACAAAACGTCTAAACGAAAATAAGCCAACTCGGCAAGCAAGTCAACAACCTCACCCACAACCCGAGCTACAGATCTTTGCCAAAACTTTAGTCATTCAATATCCTCCAGACATTGGCCATAATGAGCCAGGCAGCTTTCCCCAATCAGAATCATTCCTAGTTAGACTCATTATTAAAATGTTGACATAAAACCAAACACAAACATGATCTGCAGCGAGTGGTGATGTTCTGTCAAACTTTGATAAACCACTGGTTAAGACTGAACTGGTGCATTGTGCTCAATTCTGATCACTACTCTATGAGAAGGATATCAAAGCTTTGGAGAGCAACTAGAATTGAATTAAATATGAAGGGGTTCAGCGACTATGGACAAACTGGGGTTGCATAAGAGTTTGTACCACTCCTGAGTCACTGAGTGGTATTTTAAGTGAAATGCATTGTTGAAATCTGTTGAAATAAGTAACTATCACCACAGCTAACTTGAATTCCTGGAATACTGCAAGACAATTTTTACAAAGACAACAGGGAAAAAAAACGCAGGACATTCCGCTGTGATAATTACAGCTCCAGACACAGCCATACTTCACAGGTAGACCTGAACTAACTAAAAAGGCTTGTGTTGATGCAATGTCAGAACTTTAATAACACTTTGGATAATTTTAACAAGGCAGCCACACAGAATCGTGAAGGGCAGAGTGACTTAATAAGCAGGATTGGAAATCTCTCGGTTTCCCAAAGAGGGTATAGTTTAAGAATCAAGTCGATGGCTTTTGAGCGGTGCCTGGAGACTCTCGAAAGTCCAGTGATAGGAAGGGCCCTTGCAGTGCAATGGCATTGCCCCCACCTCTGGGCCAAAAGTGTCCCATTTGCCCTAAAGCTCTGTCATAACACATCCAGTAGAGAGAACTTCCCCTTACATTTGCATAGGTATGATGGGCAGAATGGCCTCCTTCTGTGCCAAAAACACTTCCGTGAATCCTCATTTCATTGCAACTTTGCCAAATTAAGTCAAACATTTAAGATTAAGTCAGGGGCAAACAGGACAGCTTGTGGCTCCTGACTGACCTGGAGTTAAAGGTGATGAGGTGAGGTAGCCCAATTTGATTAAAGGGAAGCTGTTGCCTTCACTGACCACTGAGTAGGGAGGGGGAGCAGGGGAACGTGGGAACGTTTCTGTTGCTGCACATCCATCATCCCAACCATACCTTGCTGATGAATCACTGTGCTATACAAAAACAGAAATTGAGGAAAAGCTCAGCGAGGTCTGGCAGCATCTATGAGGAAAAATCAGAGTTAATGTTTCAGGTCCGGTGACTCTTCCTCAGAATCTAGTCCAATGTGTATTTTAAAAGGACAGTGAATGAATGCGAATTGAACAATCTGAAGTGGTGCGCAGAGAGCTTGGAAGCTGACATTGCTTCATGACGCCAAGCCACGACTTCTTTTGAAATGTAAAGCAGCTTCTTCAATAAACGTAAAGTTTATGAAATAAGGACAATTTGAGTTGGGTTTAAAGTTATGATTTAACAAAGAATTAGATTCTGCATTTGAAATTTGTAGTTTAAGACGGATTTTG